CCATTGGTTGAGCCCCTGAGGCAGCCCCAATTGTAACGCCAAATAATTACTGGCGGAGGTACACCCAACACTTCACACTCCAGAACCAGTATGCCCCCTCGACGAACCTCTTTGCGCTGCTGTTCCTCATGTCCCACAACCGTTGGCCGAACTGATTTTTGTGGAGAAAAAAAGGAAAAGTTTTGTAAACGTAACAAATATATTACTCATAGTAAATGAGCCGACGCTTATGTTTTCCTCTTTTCGACTAGCAGACTTTACGTATTGCCGCGACCGCCACTAGCACCACTGATGGTGACACTTCCGCTAGCCTACCTGCCATTGCCCCTTCACCATAAATACGAAATCAGTTCCAACCTGTCTCCGTCACGATCCCATCTTCGAAGCATGAATCGGTCTGGTCTGTCACCTGCGAATCCATTACACTGGCAGTGGTGAACTCACCCTTGTGACAGCCCGTCCCCACGCACTCCGCTTAGGCACGTCTTCCTATCCGCCTCATACTCCTATTAGAAGCGGTTTGCTCGTGTACTCAACAGCGCAAACACTGATTCACGCATTCCGGCCTGCCTCACGCTCCTGGGCGATTCGGTGCTAGATCTACCCGCACATTGGCATCGACCAATTAACGTACGTCTTTTCACTGATTGGTTCAAGGCAACAGAGAACCCACGGCGGACACCGACTGACAATTATTAACTGAAGAGACAGCTAGCGGCAACTGCTTGCAGGGTCCCTTGTAAGCTCTTTCCTTGAGGAAAGCTCGTCTAATCTTATCAGTCTCCCCTGACTCCTAATTTTGGAAACCCTCCTGTTGTGCTTTCCTAATTTCGACTTATTCACGTCTCATCTATTAACACTCCGTCGCAGGGAGTTCGGCCATCAGATGGGCTCATGCGTTTGTGTGAAAATCTCCAGTCTAGACTCCATGATAACAATTTGTCCTCATTCATGTGGTAAGATGCCACTTGGGACTGAATCGTGGGTGGCGCGCGTAGATGAAGTGTTTAACTTTACCAGAAACCGTGGTCGCGCGCCCACTTCGACTTTGTGCTTTCATCGAATGAGCGAAGAAGGATAGATACAGCGAAAACCTGCCTCCTACAAGAGAACATTTACACGCAAGTCACTGCTTCGCTCTCTTGCAGTGTTCCCGCTGCTTTTAATGAACAAGGTTTGGTGCAGCAAACTGTGTGCTGAGAAACGAATCTAGAGTTTAGGTAATTTTTTGAAACGCTCGCCCGCTGGATGCAGAACATGAGTGGTTGCGACTACGCCAGTTTAGGCGACTGAAGTCGTGTGGAAATGACTGCCACTATGTTGGGAGCAAGTACGACTGTGGCTGCAGTTACCTACTCCGGTGACTGTGCCAAATCCTAAGGGTGTTAAGCGATTGATGGGAAGCGTTCTTGGTTTTGG